CTGCCAGGGTTCTAAGATATTTTGTCAGGTGCAATGATACCTGAAGAAAGCGGAGAGGGGAGCCAAATCAGATACAACAGCATGTTACCCAGAGCCACCATGGTGACAACTCACTGAGGTGTGTGCAAGATGTAATCAATGTGGTAAGTCCTAAATGTTTGTCCAAATACCTAGAGACTAGGAAGCAGATAAATCTCTGAGGTTGTGAGGGCCCATGCGTAGCCTAATTCCACAGCCTGTTGGAAACACTTCCCTATCATGATACTCACCATAGGATGGGGATGGGGGGCTGCTCCAACAGTAGCCCTTTCATGGTCCTCTCTACTTCAGAGCTAAGCTGGGCCTGCAAACCCATGGGAACTAGCGTTGTAATCAAGATGAAAAGCAGATGCCATGAGTAGAAGCCATGAGTCCTGCAAAGCTAAATCCTATGCCTGCTGCCCACCAAGAGGGATAAGGAAGAAAGCCAGCTGGACTGGCAGGAAACTAGGATTCATATTACCTGAGATAGCTATGAAAGATTTGGGATTTAGAAGCTTTGGGGTCTGTGGCCCAGCTGGCTCTGTGCTTATTTCATCAAGCCTCTCACAAATATCGGATAGTTTATCATTCACCTATAGTGTACAAGTAAGTGATTCATAACCGACACTCCTACTATTTATCAAGGGATCAAAAATCTGCTCAGGTGGGCCCTGAGGAATCTGGGAAACATGGCTGAGCCATGGCAAAGCTAAGACTTCCAAGTTTATCAACCTACCATTGGGAAAGTTGTGAAATTGTTCTGGTCTGTTACTGACAGTGGGCTCATGAGGTTGTGGTCTGCCCAAGGCAACTAAGCCCGAAGTTCAAATCCTACTCCTTCCACGTTCTAATTGTGGGACCTTATATAAATCATGTAGCCTTTCTTGATTCAAGTCTCTTGCCTCTGTTGAGGGAGTGATAATGACTTATATCATTTGACTGTTATATCATGTGTAACTGTTGGGTCAGGTGAGAAAATGTGAGTAAAATGTCTAGCACAGAGTGGTTCTCCAACAAATCCCTGTTCTCCACACTTCAGTTCTCCCAAAACTGAGATAGGCTCAGTTTCTCCTCCTCTAGTTATTGCTGCTGGATTTTTTGTTCAGGAAAGCAACAGTTAGAAGCAGTACCAATTTGGGGCTCAGCTGAAAAATTCTGACTCTTGCCTCTAAATGAGATGCTTAGTCCTGCCCAGTCTTGTTGGTCCCTGGTGGTGGAATCTCATGCAGCAAGAGTCTGAAAAACAAACTTGCTCACCTTCCTGGAGCCTTGGGAGTTCTGAGATGAGATTTCTGAGTGCTTTAAGAGGGGCCACTTAGGAATTTAAAGGACAGAGACCTGCTCCCTTTGAAGGTGCACATGGAACTCCAGCACCTCCATACCTCACCCCTAAATTCACTTTCTAAGTGTGGATAAAAGTGCTCAAACGCAAGATTGTTGGAGAACCTAGCCACCTTTTTTTAACCTCATCCTCTACTATCTCTTCCCCCTTCCACTCATTTTTGGAAGCACATTGGCCTCACATCTACAGCATAGCCCTGACTGGAGGCCTCCACCCAGGCAGCCCCAAGGTGGCTCTTTGTACCTGGTCTCAGCTCAAACACTGTTCCTTCAAGCCCCTCTTCTTCACTGTTTAATTTTAGTTTTTTCTTAGCATCCAGTACTACCTGAGATGATCTTACTCATTCTATTATGTGTGAAATACTGATTCTCCCTACCAAAACACAAGCTGTGTGAAAGGAGGGACTCAGGATGATACCTGATAGGCCTGGTCACTTCTCTATTCCCGGAATATCAAGTTTTTCAGAAAACCCTGTTGAATGAATCTGTGACTGTTATAATACTGTCCTGTAATAATCTGTAATAGGCTGGACAACTATTCAGATTTGGACACTGCTAGAAACATGCAATTCTAAGGAGACAAACTGAAGGGTTGGGGAATGTCCCTGGGTCATAGTGGAAGGTCTGCTTTGAGCTTTTGATGACCCAGAATCCAAAATCCCACTGACCCAGTGAGGGAAGATTTTCTCTGTGTCCTCTGTCTAGAGCTCTCTAGAGCTGAAGGATGCTGAGAATCCCTTCAACCTCAGATTCTGGGATTAAATCAGAGGAAAGTCTTCAGGCCCCTCCAAATAGTGCTCACTGCCAGGGTCTCAAGTGACATTCAGGAAACACTGTCTAATAAAAATGAACTCTTTATATGGCTTATTAAACTGTTCAAACTCTATATGGATGTATCATTTGTCTTCAAAAATTGTCTCAGTGACCAGTGATGGTTTTTGAAAAATGCTTGGGCTGTGATGTTGTATAACATACATTCACCATGGCATTGACTGAGGAGATTAACTTCATAGGGCTCTTTGGATTGCCTGGCATGGGGTTTCCAGAAGGGAAAGGATGGTGGTGGTAGACGTTTTGCGGGTTCACCTTTAGTTCTTCATTCCTCTTTTGTGGCCTCATATTCAAAACCAAGTTGTGTCAGTCCCAAAGGACTCCAAAAAGCAGTAAAGGAGCAAGCCAGAATTGAGAAAGCTCTTCTATTCCTGTCATGGGGAAAAGCAGATATGGGAGCTCCTAGAACCCTGTTTCATGCCTGGTGCTAATGCCGAGGAGGGGTTGTGCAGCCAGGAGGTCTCAGCACTGCTTAGCAAGAGGAATCACACTACCAAGGGCCACATTTCCAAGAGAAAGCTCCTTTTGTGGGTAGGTAGAAATCAATACCTTTTTCTGAGTAGTGGATTCTTTTGGAAGGAGGGGAAGGAAAATTTCAGAATGAGGGTGTAGGGACCTCAAATCAAAAGCTTACTTAAAATACAGCAAGCAGCAAGTCAGAGGTGTCAGTGCTGGCCCTTACTGGCACTTGCCCACTCTATGAGGCATACCCCTGCCTCCTCCTAGGGCCTTGACTTGAGCCCAAGGACTTGACATGAACATAGGGCCAGGAACATCTGAAGCCAACCCTGGTGCACTCACTGTCTGTCACAGTACTGTTGGGGAGCAGCTGTCCACTGTCACTGCACCTCAGGACAGCAATAGGTTTCCTGTCTCGCCTTCCCTGAGCACCTGCTCCTGCAAGAAAGTGTGAAGGAAGACAGGGCTGCCAGAATGGGGGTGGGCTGTCTTGGTTTCCATGAAACATCATCAACCCTTGGATGTCTCCTTCAGGTGCCTTTTGTATGAAGGATGACACCAATCTCATTGGTGAAATGTCACACCCGGGATGCTGAGGGATATTTAACATCTCTAAAATAGAGAGAAAAGAAGGCAACTTAAGGAAGAGCTTCCCTGGCCACTCATTATCTTGTTCTTGTTTCCTTCTGGGTCTCTTCATGGAAGGGTTGGTGGAGGCTGTCACCTGTGTGGAGGATACAGGAGAAGAAAGGCAGAGTCCTGTTGACCTACCTCCACCACTGCAATGCTCTGGTCTAGACACAGCTCTTAATTCTGCTGCTCCTTAATTCAGCCACCTGAAATTCATTTCTCCATTCTTAACATATCATCCAGAAAGCAAACTATATGTCTCTGAGATCATATGACAGAAGAAGCAGGCCTGGGAAGGGTAGTAGCATACATAGCAGTGTTTCCACATCCCTTCCTCCATCACTGACTTTGAGAGACTGCTGCACAGAGATAACAGTGGTCTCTAAAGGAAGATGCCCCAGGGCCACTGGAGATTACTAGGGTCTCTTCAGAAGCAGAATCTTCCTGGCCATTCCCCTAAGAGTTCCTACCCACCCTATTCCTCCTGGAGCTCCCAGCATCGCCGGGTGGGGACTGCAAGAACAGGCCCGAAGGGACAGAGATGTGCTTTCCCAGAACCTGAAAGCTAAGGCTTACAACTGGAAATCCAAGGTCTCTGGGAAGAGGGCCAAGGGGCAGGAAAACATAGAGAAGCATGAAGAGAAAAGGTTAGATCTTTCATTTTTTGACCATATGTAGGATTGTGCACTTTCTCTGTATGGGACCACCTAGCCAGGTGTGTCCAATGAGGGCTGACCTTATCCCAGAGGGAAGAGCACCTTTTCTTCTATTACACAATTCTGGGATCATCTAGCCCAAATTTCCAATTAGTCCAAATTGCCTTTTCCTAATCTGCACAGAGACTGTTTATGGTCTAGGGCAGTGGGAGCGACCTATCTCACGCATGTAGTTTTTCTTTTAAGGCAAAAGATGTTAGTGTATGATTTTTTTTTCTAAACTAAAATCTCAATTTTCAGGCTTAATTGCAGTACTGGCGCTTCCCCCCCCCTCTTTTTTTGTACCAAAGATCGCACTCACAACCTTGCATTTTCAAGGCAGACATGGTGCCACTGAGCTAAATCCCCGGCCCAGTTTTGGCACTTTGTGACAAGTGAGTTTTGGATGAAGTCTAGGCTCCTGTCTCTAAAAGGTTCACCATCACTGGTCTGGGGGTTGGCAGCCCTCCCTTTCTTCCCACCCCCTCTCTCCCTCTTCTTTCTCAAGCTCCCTATGAAGGTCTCCAGTTGAGACATTTATACTCATTTTCTGCTGGGTTGCTTGCTCCCACCTCAGATCTGGAAGTAGGTTGGTTTCTACGCTATTTCTCAATTTGGAAAGCATAGGAACCTCCTGCAGGTAAATGGGACAGAGAGGAACAAAGTTTGAACTGGGCATAGCCCTGCTTCCCTTTCTCCCACTATCACATGGCATAATCCCTCATCTCCCTTTTTACTTTCTCCATTCTGACAACAAAGAAGAAAACAGGAAAATAAATGTTCTAGAACTCTCTATACCGTGGAGGTGGCATTTTGGTGGCCCAGCTCAAGTAGCGTCAGACACTCCAGGACATAGGAGGAGAGTGCTCAGGACACATGCTGGGTGGGCTGATTGGGAGTTTCAGCAGGTACAGCGATGGGTGGGGTGCTACCTACGTCCACCCTGTACACTGAGGTCATAGCAGAAGTGCTTAGTGGAAAAAAATACCAACACTAGCGACAAGATGTCTCTCTGTTACTTACCCTTGTAATCAAATGTTATTTTATGCCTTCCCATGATCTCATCCTCTGTGGCATTCAAGTTCTGGATCAGAAAGTATGTGGTCATTTTCCCTTTTCCTTTCACTTTGATTTCACCTCTCTCGATGATTTCAAACCCTTGATTCTCCAGGGCTCTGCACAGAGAAAATAATGCACCAAGTATCAAAGATCACATAGCTGGCTACAGTGAGCAGTGATACATAAGGAAAAGTCAGAAACTAAGACACATAGCAGTGGGAAGGATACAAGACATCAGCAGGTACCTGTAGACAGGGGTAAAGGGAGTGTGAGAGAGCAAGGAGGAGTGAATGTCAGGTGTTCTGAAAAGGATGCCAAAGGCAGAGGGAGGCCCAGGGGACTTGCCCAAACCCTGTTCCTCTCTCCAAGGTTCCCATACATGTAGCCCCGCATTCCTACTATAATACTTGGCTTTCACTTTCAGTACCCAAGTCTTGTCTAAATAGCACTATGGAACTCCTTGTTCCAGAACAGCTAGAAGATCTTCTCCACTGTGAAATCCTCTTTCCAGGATTAGGCTCCTATCTCTGAGCTCCCATGGCATACACTGTAATTCCTACAAATATGAAAGTAAAGAGGGGAGCCCGAGCCTTGATGATTGGGGTTGCATCTATACTTTTCTCCTTCCTGATCTACCTGGACCTGATGCAAGTTATTCACCTTATTTTTCCTTATCTGTAAATAAGAATAGTAGTAGTAAATTTTCATGGAATTACTGCAACAGTTAATCAATGCGCATGTGTAAAGGGATGTAGAACCAAAGTGGCCTATTAGAAGTGCTCAAGAAATTGTAAGTATTGTTTTACATCTTTATCTTTGTACTTACCCCACTTTAAAAATAATTAAATGTAAATTTTCTTTTTCCTCCACTAGACCAGGGGCCAGTAGATTTCTTCTAGGGAACACCAGATAATAAATGTTTTCAGGCTTTGCAGGCCATGCACAGTCTTTCATAATTATTCAACTCTTCTATTGTATTGTGACATCAGTCATAGACAATATATAAATAAAGGCATACAGCTGTGTTCCAGATTTATTTGCAAAAAGAAGTTGCAGATTGGATTTGATCTATGGGTTATAATTTTCTGTCTTCTGCACTAAACCATTTGCTCCTTAAGAGTAAAAACTATGTGACAATAAGGGCTCAACAATATGTGCTGCCTCTGTAACCTAGGAAAGTGTGGGACTATAATCTTGAGTTTTCTCCCCACCCCATCCAATGGCTGCTAGTTATTCTGTAAGGTCTAGAAGGGGGAGGGGCAAAGGAAGGCATCAATAAACAAATGACTACCTGTAGGCTGTGGGACTGAGATGTACTTTGTTGGGAAGTCCATGACTTTCCATCCTGGATGCTGTGTTCACAGTGTCACCAAACAAGCAGTACCGGGGCATCTTGTCTCCCACAACACCTGCTAAGACTGGGCCAGTATGGATCCCAACTCTAATCTGTACAGAGAGAACCTCACTGAAGAGAGACCATCTAATCCTTTTTCTTCTACTTTTAAATTAAGGCATAAGTTTTATAAAATAAAAACCACAAATATTAAAGTGTTTAGCAATATGAGTTTGGACAATTGTGTAGAAGTTTATTACCACAATCCAAAATGAAATGTAAAATAGTTGCACTACCTTCT